AGTCCTGCCCACTGAAACACTCTGAAGAACAATGTCCAAGCCAGTAGCATGAACATTACTAGTATGTGGGTTTAGGTCTGAAAATACGGTTTTCCACTTAAACAAGCCTGATTATTTTTAGCGAAATGGCCAACTTCATATCTGGGCAAGGAAATGTGCAAGATAAGGCTGGAAGTGTTAGGGCCGATCAGGCTCATAATAAATAACATTGGAGCCAACATGAAGGGCTTCCCATTAGCCAAAGTAAGGTTTATTTGAGCCTCAATATGAGTAACAGCAGAAGTGTATCAACACACATCGAATTTGTTCAAATCAGGAGTTTACAATGCCCTAAACACAAAAATAAGGAACACTAATTGTTCATTTTTGGAGGGCATTAAGGAACAAGTCTTTATTATGAAAACCACAAAATGGTAGAAATCATTTATTTTGCTTTTCAAATATGGCCACAGCCACTGACTAACCAAATAAATGAAGCAAAGCTTCTCTTTTTTCCAAGTACTTCAGCAAATAAATGAAGAATGGTTGAAATAGCACCATTTCTGAGGCTCATATTTAATACATGCTGCCCCTGGAATTGAGAGAGGGAGGGAGGGAGGAGAGGAGAATATGAAGCTTATATGCCTGAAGACACACAGTCCTCTTGAAAATAAAAATGCAGTCTGATTAAGCCTCTAGATCCCACCACCAATTTAAAGGAAATACTGCAGACAAAGGAAATTGTTTACACCTCAGGAATTTTATCAGTGAAATGATGTTTTATCAGAAATTCAATAGGCCAAATGATCCAGTTCATTCAATAAATAAAATGCAAGAGAAGAAAAAAAAAAAACAGTGGTGTAATAAAAGACAAATGGAGGAGAAGTCTAGGACTAATACAAAATGAAGAGGTCTATTTAAATTTTTAAAAAGAAAGAAATGCTGGAGGAGAAAAAAGAAATGCTGACTTGGGGAATAATATCATAAAAGGTATCAAAAGGCTACCTACACCGTAAAAAGGGCAGAAGAAAAAATTACAATGAAAATTAGAAAATGTTTTGAACAAAACAGGAGTGAAAGTATGACACTTAAACTTAGGAATCCAGCTATCCTAACCCATTGCTGAGAAGGAAATCTACTGCTGTTAGCACATGTATATGTTAAGAGGAAGCCTAAAAATTAATGATGCAAGCAGCCACCAAAAGTTTGTAAGAGCAAGAACAGTAAACTGATTCTAAAGAAAGGAGAAAGGAAATGATGCAGAGCAAACGACAATAATAATGTAGGAAAATGAACCACAGGCCTATAAAATCAACAGCTGGTTTTTCAGAGAAGAAAATAATAAACCTCAAATCCCTGTTGAGACTAACTTCTAAGTTGCTTATAATAGCCTCCATTTTATTACTAGCATAGATAGTGATTTAAAAATAAAAATAGCAAACATGTAGTTAAGATTTTCTATATGCCAGTGTCACTCTAAGCATGTTACAAATGCTAACTCTATTAACACTCACCAGAGACGTAGGAGGAAATGGCAGAAGAAATTTTGCAGCAGTTTGACTGTAGACAGAAACTTAATGAAACAGCACCTAGTGCCAGCGGCTGACAAGGAGTAGTTAACTCAATAAATCTTAGTTAAACTTATGAATCAACTTCAAAATATTAAAATCTAATCAATAAACTTGGCAAATCATACAGCCTTCCTGATTTAGTCTTTCTCACCTTACCTGGCAATCTCACCCAGAATTCTTATTTCTTCCAAGACAATTGATTGTCAGAAGATTCACTTTGTTAAAGAAAAGCACTGATACAACTTAAGCATCTCAGTAATTATTCTATTTTCCAAAGTAGAGGCTGCCATCTTCCACAGTGGGTATACGTGTGCTTTGGCCCACAAAATGTTTTAATTTCTAAATTTGAATTAAAGGCAATAGGTTTATATAAATCAGCATTTAAAAAAAAAAAAAAAACTTGGACAGAATGCCCAGCAGGGTGCCTGAATTCCTATGCGGCAACATATAACTAGAACTGAGCAGTGGCTCTCTCCTTCACACACGTTACTAACGTTACTATCTCCCTGGTCACAGAACTCAACACCTACAGTCACCCTACTCCACACACTCCTGGATTCCAAGGTAAAGTCTAAACTTCTTGGCCTGGTTTTCCAAGATCTGGCCCAACAAGAACAGTCTCCCTTAACTGGATTACTCCTCATAATTTACACAATGATTTATCTCCAAACATACATTGTCTAGATAGACTGATAGGATTAAGTCACATTTGCTTTAATTCTTGCAAAAGGCACTAGTGTCTGTGGTTTAGATGGAATAGATCCAGCAGTGGATCCAGAAGAACTAGGTTCTAAATTACATTTTCTTGAATAAATGTGAAACTGAAAACTTGGGTATTTTCTTCTTTTTTGACTGGATTTCAATTTTGACAGAATCTTTTCTAATTACAGACTTCTATCAGCTTTTTTGAAATGGGCTCTCTTCATTTTTTTAATGACTGTCAAACTTCCAACACATTATGTTTTATTCTCATCTGTACTAACCCAATACAATACTCAATGATTCATAAGGATTTTTTCAATGTTCCAGAAGAGGCTGATATTTAAATAAATTATTTGTAAAATAAAACATCCTATTTATATATGCACTTTTAAAATTCTCTGTGAAGTGAAAGGGAAAAACAGTCATTTTGTGTTTAAAGACAGTTTATCTCTGAGCATCCTTCAAGTAGAACCAGAGTCACTTGGATTTGACCCATGTTCTGAAAATGTGTTCCAGTACAGTCCACGATGTCTGTTTCTGTTTTTGTTGTGCTTATGTCTTTTCTGAGCATGAATTTTATCAGTGGATCTCAGGTTTTCATGTTTTACATCTGTGCTTGGGCATAGTAACAGGCTTGTGTACATCAGAGTACAATGTGTGATTGCCACTTTGTGGTAAAGATCAAATGTATTAACTCATACTCAAATCTCAGTTCTGATTATCTTAAGTAAATATGTGACCTTACAAACCATTTAACTTCTGTGCTCCCTCATCTGTTGAGTAGTACCTCATCTATAAAACAGTAATCCTTTGTAATATTTTTTAAGATTACTGCGAGGATAAAATAAAATATGTGCAGTGCCTGGTATATGGTAGACATTAAATAAAGTTATTTTCATGAATAATAACTGTCCTTTGCTGTCCTCCGGAAGAACAATGACATTTACTACTTATGTTCTTTTACTTTTATACTTATAATGTGTCATATCATTTTCTTTTATATTAATTTATTAGGTTATTAAATTATCGCTCAATTACTTAAGTTCCTTATGGACAGGAACGTTGGGCTCATCAAAATATTCCTCAGCACTGTGCATAATGCCAGATACACAGCATACACTGTGTTTAATAAATACTTCATGAGTAAATACACGCAGAAAAATGTGACTAATTTTAAGAGTTTATGTTCAGGTTGTTCTTAATGTAAAACAATTTAAGATATTGAGATTAGTGCCCAGAATAATTAACATGAACAACTGTACTGCCTTTCATTTAAGAGAGTCAGACGAGGAATCTTTGTTTCTAAGCAGGAAGGACTAATACACACACACACACACACACACAATTTCTTGTGAAGACTTTAGAAAGCTGCTTTAACAACAGTAGTGCTACCAAGTCTTCTGAGAGAAGAGGTGATTGCAGTTTTATCCTGGGTGCATATGTAGATTCTGAGCACAGAAACAGAATGTGCCAAATCTATGCTTTGTTCAACCATAGATCCACTGCTGGAGGACAAAGAATCAGCAGGGTTTTAGCAGCCTAACTATGCTAGATGGACAAAATAATAAACCTGAGAGGGAAATATCCAATGAGACACAAAGAGTGCAAAACTAAGCTATTGTTTCCTCTAGACACTAGTAGAATGTATGAAACTGCAGGGTGAAGAGAAGAAAGCTAAGCAAAAAGTCTCTGAAAAGCATAGGAATCTTGTTCTGTACTGGCTAAGAAGATAAGAATTATGCACAGTTTTTTCTGTTTTTCATATACATATACTGCAAAACATCATTTATATAAATATCAAAACACACAATACTAACCTTCTATTAGAAGTTAGGATGTTTACCTTTGGATGGCAGAAACTGGGAGGAAGCGAAAGGGGCTCCTGGAAGAGCTGATACTGTTTTGTTTCTTGATCTGACAAATAGTCTGATAATTTTATTATAATTCATAAAGATGCTTTTCATGAACTGTGCATTTTCTATATGTATATTGTACTATGAAGTTTTAATTTAAAAACAGTATGCATATAGAAACTTAAGGCTCAACAAACTCATGCCAAAGTCCTATCACCCTTACAAATTCTCCAGACAAGCCTGGTGCCCAGCTTGATGCTCATGATAAATGACTGTTGTTTCTTTCTTTTCTTTTTTTTTAATTCACGAATGAAACAAAGACTCAAAGACAAAAATAACAATAGACTGCAATTATTCCCCTACTCTCTCTCATGTTTATGTTTATTTGCTTAGTTTAAAAAATATTCTTACAGTGATGCTAACATTAAACGTGATAATCCTGCTCTTTAACTCCTCTTTTAAATATTTAATAATGCAAAAATCTGCTGGAAGCTTCTTCAAAACACTAATTTCTCACCCTCTCCTTCAGTCTACCATTTACAGGAAAATCTATTTGCAAGAAATAAAATTGTTTTATATTGGGACATATAAAAGTTTCCATAGTTTGAAGGCTGTGAGATAATTGTGACAAAGTCTCTACTTACTCTTTATGAGATAATTATCACTAACACTGTTTATAGTTCAGATGCTCTGTGTCAAACACTTTGCATAAAGATTCAGGTCAAGAGGAAGTTAGATATGTTGCCTGTAGCAAAACAACTGACTTCCTTCACATAGAGGTTGCATCTATTTTTTTTTTCCCTCCAGGTGATAAAACTATTACAAGTTTTAAGCATCTTAGCTGGTTGTCTCGCTAATTACAAAAAGCCTTCAAGAGAGAAATTTAGAAACTAACATATAAATGTCTTTGATGAGCCTGATGTGATTTCAAGACATTTTTTACCCGGTCATGGATCTCATCGCAGTTTGAAGGTGAACACCAATCAGAATGGAATCTGTAGGCATAAAACACAAAGGTGACTTGTAGCCAGAGAGGTAGAAAAATAAATCTTTTAAAATGGTAGACATGGAAAATCTATTTTTTTTCTTTGTTCCTATGTGATAACATATAAAGATTACAATAGTATTCTTTTGACTAAGGATGAGAGACAGATATAAATTCAAGAACTAATTCTCAGCTATAATATTAAGTCTTCACAGTATATTTAATGAAATTTGACATGCACTTGAGAAAGCCTACTTATTTACCATTTTAATCATTTCCATATATAATTTTATCTCTAAATATATAGATTTAGATCTGGATATACAGATCTATACAAATATACAGATGTTCATATTAGACTAATTCCATGTATAGCATTCTTTAAAATTAATTCTTCTCTAGTAATTTGATTATACCACCTTAAAGTATGTGGCAGAAATTCCTCTCTGCATACAAAAAAAAATAAATTTATAAAATGAAACAAAATTATATTCATAATAATAAAAATATTTAGAACCTAACTATGCATTTATCCCTTCAAAATAAAAGGGAACATCTCAGTATAGATATCACTTCCCTGTTCTGTGTTATAAGTTTTTTTACAGATAAATATTGAAAATAGGAAAGACAACATGACTTGTGCAAAAACAGACAAGTCTGAATTATGGAATTAAAGAAGAAATAAAGCAACCACTCTTCTTTAGTAAGTCCTTCTAAAACTCAAAACTAGTATTATTTATAACTAAGCTACTGTATTTTTTATGCAATAGCTATTTCCAGACCCATCTAATAATTATAATACATCTACATGAGGCATTATTAATAATTCTTTAAAAAGAAATGAGTACTAAAATGCTAACAGGTTGCTTAGATCTTTGCCTATATTATCTACCAGCTTGTTCTCACATTTACAATTTTACTTGCCTACACAAAGTATAAACTATTAAGCAGGATAAATAATTTACAGAATCTGTTTTAAAGAATGCTATCAATAAAAGATGATCAATTATGTGTAAATATTAATCTGCATTTGTAAAAGGACCTGTTATTGCATCTATGCAAATAAGTTGGCAGACTGCTATTTGCTACTTGTGTAATATATCTTGAAAATCTCAGATCCAAATATGCAGCTCCAAGATTTTCACTAATACTATAAGAAGATCCACTAGTCTGTGCTGTAGTATAATAAATGATTACTTAACAATCCTTAGCTCCATTTTAAAAATCAAAAGTTTAAGCATGCTAGAAAGAATAGCAGCTCCCTCTAAATTAGATTTGCTAGTCTGATTTTGGTAATAACTCTACAGCCTAATACAAATTAAAAGTCATAGTATTAATATTTATACTTTGAAAGAAAACTGTTTCTAAAATGTAACAATTATAATCAAAATTGAAACCATTTTATGGTATGCTAACTCTTTTGGAAGTTTTTTTTTTTTTTCATGTGCTTAAAGCAAAAATTACCTTCATTATAAATCACAGTAATTTACTTGCTTGGAATCACTGATAAAGTTTTTAAGTTTCTTTGCTCATATATATATTTAAAGAGTAAGCATTTTACAGAAATATTAAAGGAAAAATATTTAATTTTAATGGATATTCACTTACATAAATTCTATATCTATATATTGCCATACTTCCAATTTCTTCTGGGACATAAATTGTACATTTGTACAGTTTATATTGCTCACTGTTTCCAATGGATTGTATAACACCCTGTAAGTATATTGCTTAGTGACCTTGAGTCAGATCAGTGAATGTCTTATATTTAAAGATGTGGAATATACAAAAAAAGGACAAAATGTTTCTGTTGCTAGGAATATGCCTTAAAATACTTCCTTTTATATACTAAATCTAGGTTCTTTAGAAACTACACTCAAAGTAGAGGCCTTCTACCATAATGAAAGTAATAAAGTGCCTCATTAAAAATTTAATTATTATGATGTATTCAAAACTAAATTGCCATTGTATTCCTTTGTTTTAAAAGGACCCCAACCTTTCTCAAGTCATAGGTAAAAGAAGCAATGCTTATTATATAGATCCACTTTTGCTTCCTGCAAAGAACTTGTCCACATCTAAATGTATAAACACTGCTTATATACTGCTTATCTGCCCTAAACCACATCCTGCACTAAAATAAGGAAAAGGGACAATTGCCGTGAGCTAGTAGCCTTAATGCAGCAACAGTTTTGAATATAGTCTCAACAAATAATTTACCAACTTGGAGAGAACAGATTTCAGAAGCTGGGGCAAAATTGTAGACGAGGGTAAAACACAGGACTACAATTATTATTTTATAACTGACAGACAACTGGAGAGTCCTGCAAAATATGTGAAAAGGTAGAAAAATAAAATAATATTTCCACAAACATATTCAAGGAGATACAGGTTTTAAAAAATCTTGATAATCTACAGATGTAGCAAACATGTGATCAAGAAAACCACAAATGCTTAATTCTCAAATCAGATAAAAAGAGAATAGAACCCCTCAGTGTAAACATCAGAGCAGTGTAGAAATAAAAGATTGCCTGATATCAAAATAAAATTTACCAGATTCAGTAGAAAAACCTCTCTTCAAGCATTCCTCTTAAACTTTTAAGGTCTAAAGTTATCTCTGTTTCTCTTAGCACAAACATGTGTGTGTATACACAGAGAGAACTAATGATATACACACACACATACACACTAATATGGCTATATCCATCCCCATGAACTTGATAATCAGACAGGCATGACTTTAATGGGTGAGAAGCACCATCGATCAAAATGCCTTACTTTAGGATGAAGGTCTCTGGCAAACCTCCCTATGCTCACTTTGAACGCTTACCAGGCTAATGAGGGAATAGATTAATTTGTGTGTTCACAACAGGGAAGTCTTAATACAGCCTCCAAAGCGACACACTCTTGTTCAAGTCATCAATTTTGAAATGAACTTTTCATAGACTCTCTACAGTTAATTTAAACTTTGTTAATTATGTCTGATGGCCTTACTAAAATGCTCTGGTAATTTAGTGTGCTACTTTATCTTTTGATACCATTTGGAAAGTTATATGTTAGGCTGTTTGTTGACAGTATATCTCTTTGGTTTTCAAGTTTCTATAAAATGTTTAAATTACCCAGGGTTGAGTGTTTTGCTTTTTTCCCTTAATTTATGACAACTCTTGCTTTCTATGTTGCTATTTGTGAGAGATGCAAGGAATTTCCAATTTGGATTCAACAACAACAAACAGATGAAGAGGAATTATTTCTTTCACATTTAGATATAACAAATGTCTGACTTCAGTTGTCAAAAAAATTTTAAAGGGAGAGGTGGAATCTTTACATGATTTAGATTCTCTTGGGGAGATCCCAGTGTATTATTTGCAGAAATAATACCAATAATACATGGCATTATCATTTTTTTTATTTATGCATACAGAACTGGGGTATAGGTCAGAGGTGCAGGGGTGGTGAGAGGTTTCACCAGAGACAGAGTGGGGAGCAGAATAGGCAGATTCACGAAGTACACTTCTGAGGGGAGCAGCGGGCAGGCCAGGAGAGGTCTGCCATGCCATGTGGTCACCTCCGGGGCAGGCGGGGATCGAACTCATGCTGTAGTAGCTTTAGTTTCTTAGTGCTGTGCTTTAACCCGCTGCGCCACCAGGGAGGGCCACATGGCATCATCATTATCAGAAAAAAAAAAAAAAAGTATAACCTGTGTTATTTTTATAAGATATGCTTATCATATTAAATCCCTCTGCATCTACTAAAGATAAACGATCACATCCTCTATTTTTCAAGTTTCATGAATTAGGGTTAAGCTTAAGTAGGATTAAAGTAACCCTAGTAAACTTACCTATAATTAATAAACTCATTAAAAAAACTGAGCTGGAAGGAATATCTAGCACTATGTAATATATAACATATTCTAAATGAAAACAACTTAAGCTTCTGAAAAATCGAATTATACTTTTACAAATAATAACTTCACATGCATAACTACTGCCTACTCTCTTCTAACAAAGATTATTCACAAAATGAGTACAGAAATAGAAACTAGACATTACCTTTCCCTGAGAGAAGCTCGATTTAATACAGGGCTTGGGGAGTGCTTCGGCACAGTTGAGGGTGCTGAATGGACTAGTAGCGTTCTCGCTGAATGCTGGGGTTTGCTACATGATCTTGAGCTCAAATATTCATCACACCTTTCCAAAGAGTCATCAAAGTCTCTCCCATGGGGTGACCTCATAACCTGTTAAAAAATGCACTGTTTAGTAGTAATATTACATATATAAGCACACACCCTTTTTGTGAAAGTAAAACAAAAAAGTGAATGTTACAGCTATATTTGAAGGTAAATTTGAGAATGTAGCAGTCATTAGCACTGTAAGGTTAAATATTAAGCATAACTGCATTATTTATTTACATACCTAAAATCTACAAAACCATCAAGTCTAAGGGTTTTTGAGGAGTTGGGTAAATAAAGAGAGGGGTGTACATAAAAAACAAAGGAAAAATATACATACACTATAAATAGCTTAGTTTAGTTATGAGGTCAAACAGATCTGGCTCTAGTCCTTATTCATTGCTTCATTTGTTCTGGAGACAAATGAATATATCAGTATCCACAAATAAAGTCCTACCTTAATGGAACATATATTATAGTAAAATCAACATTCTAGTAAGGAGAGCTGTTTAGACACACACACCCTCAAGATGAATTAGTAAAAATATAGTACATGAAAGGATGTTAAATACCATAGTAAGAAAATAAGTCAAGAATAGCAATAAGTGGTGATGGGATCAAAGGGGTATAGACGAATGAGCTGTGATTTTACATAGGATAGTCAGTAGGGACTCACGTGGAAGACAATCTCTTAGACTGAAGGTAATGAAGACTACATGATCCAAGTCATGGGGACATTACTTAGAAGCTGAAAAGATTAAGAGTCAATTGAGGAGTGACAAGGGAAGTGAAAAACAGGAGAATACACTTTTCTGAAAGCCAATTTAAGAATGTATGTTGAAGAAAGAAAAGAGTGAGCTAACTGGGTCATATTGCTGGTAAGTCATTAGCAAAGACTGGATATGGCCTATTAAATTTCAACAATACGAAGGTCATCAGTGACATCAACAAAGTAGACTGACTAAGTGACATTTATTTAACAAATATTTAACTTCTAATCACTGCTTTCATGTGTTTAGACTTAACAGTAAATACAAAGCCCTGCGTTTATGAGCTTCTGTTCTGGCATCACTACAGTATTTACTAAATGTTTGACCTTTAAGGTCAATCTGACTTTCGAGAAAGCCATCTAACTTTACATATCTTCCTCATATGCACAATAGGGTTTACAATTACAATTACAATAATAGGTATCTTAAAAAACTTCCATCATTTGCAAAATATTTTGCAGAATGTCTAGGTGTATAAATTATACATCAAACATAAGTCACTTATTTTTAAAACACTAGTCCAGCATAGCTTTTTGCTTCAATGCTACAATTTTCACTGCTTTCCAGAATTATAACAACATATGTTGAATCAGAAGTCAGCTGAGAGAATCAAACTTTCATCCCACAACCAAACAGCATATAATTCAAATGATTCAGTTACAATTCCAAATGGCTGGCCAAGAAATATTTAAACTAGATTTAAAATAAGAGAAAAACTGAAAATCGTTCCATTGTTAGCTGTCAACAAAGTAAAAATACAATGTCAGAAGCAAGTTCAAAGAATTCCATGGTCAATAAATACAAGTGTATATATTGACTGATAGGAAAGGAAAAATAATGTATAATGCTCTTTTTAGAATTATATCCAAATAGGAGCCAAATGGCTTAGAAGTGGGGAGATCATGTTCTCTTTGTTAATTTCATTGTCAACAGTCATGATGGCTGACAGACCATTTGATTTATTGTCTACTAAAATTTCTTCCCAAACTATTCAGCAATGCTTCATATACTACAATTGACTTTTCCCTTTATCAGACTAGTCATTGAGAATCTCTTCAACAAGTTAGTTAATATTCAATATAGAGATGAACAGGGATTTAAACTCACAATCCATAAGAAACAGGACATAATCATGAAGATACCTGGAGATGCTGTCACATCTATCCTAAAGACCACAGTTGTAAGAAGACAAAGGTGTCAAATGGTCTGAACAACGGGTTCTCAGTGGGATTGGAATTGAAACCATATATTGAAAAGAGGGGGAAACAGCATTAGAAGTGGGAAAACAGGGAATGGAAAGATAACCAATGACTACAGTGATGTGGCTGACTCTACAGGAAAGTGACAGAGAACACCACAATGCTGAGTGAGGAGTGATGCAGAGATTCGCATCAGGCACCTTCTATTTATAAATACAAAGTAGGAGACAACAATCAGATAAACAGGAGATTTCTGAGCAGTTACAATCCAGATGGAAGACATAAAAAAAAACATGTTAAAACAATAAAGAAGGAAATTAGAACTAAATAGACATGCAACAAGTATATATACAAACCAAGTTAAGATGCATTTCTCATGGATTTAGATTAAATGTTTGTTTTGGAAAATTTTATATGTAAATAGCATGATGAAGGTATAGTGAGTCTTTGTTACTAATTCACTTCAAACTTTCCATCTGAAGATTTAGCTTAAGAAGTGTTTCCATAACTCATCTAAGTTTTCCACAGGTTATTTATTCACTTCCCCAAACCAAATGGAATATTATCTCTCTGGCTCATTACTGAAGAGTTCCATTAAGGTTACTCGTCAAGAATCATGACTTTAGAGTTCAAAGATCTGGGTTCAAAATCTTGTTAATTATGTCATGTGGCATATGTAATTTACTTTCTCAAGTTTTAATTCCTAAACTATACACTAGGGAAATAACTTCACAAATTTGCAACCAAAAAATGAGATAAAATTAGTGAAAACACAAAGCAGAGTTCTAGCTTCATAACTTCATAAAAAGGCAATGATATTTATTTCCTATTTCCAGCTATTTCAACATAAAGAAGGTTTTGGTGGGTTTTTTTGTTTTTTTTTTCCTCCATTTATTTAAAGAACCCTTTTAAGGCCTTTTCTAAGGTCTCAGAAATGTAGTGAGTTCTAATATTGTACATGTTGAAATGTAGCAAGAGAAAAAAAGTCTAATATTTTAACCAACCTGGAACTATTACAAATAGAAAAGATGGGGTTTTTTTTTTTTTGGTTTGTTTGTTTTTTTAATATTTTACTGGAGAGGAAATTGGAACAAAGTCAAACAGACAGTCAGTGATGGGGTGTCAGGCCAGGGATATATGAGACAAGCCTCTCTACCAGTGATCTAGCAGGACAGTCTCACAGAAGATGGGTTCACAATGCAATTCAATAGCAATTTAATACACATTGTGAAAGAGCAAACTGACAAAATTTTTACAAGAAAGAAAGAAAACATCCTCCAACTAATTGCATGGCATGGTTATAGCAACACCATTAAAAACTCAAGGAAATTAGAAGGCAGTTGCAGAGTATCCTTACCAGATAGGATACCTGGGCAAATCTTAAATTGTCAGAAAGTTCAATTCAGTAGTGTTTTGTATAAGGGAATACAACATAACCAGGTGGAGGTTATTCAAGAAGACAAACTCATCATTAGAATAGCTATTACTCACAACAACAACAACAACAAAATCATTATCAACTCAACAGATGCTTGGAAAAAGCATTTTTTAATATTCAATATTCACTCAGCATTAAAAATTAGTCATTCTTTTCAAACAGGGGAAGTTCAAAGGGAACTTCCATAACTTGCTAACAGATACATAGAAAAATCTACTGCAGATAGTGCAGTCACTTGGCTTACCTATATTAATGAAGAACTGAGCCCACCAACCTCAACATTACTTTACCAGGTGTTCCAGGAAATTTTTGCCCAGAAAAATAAACCAGTAAGTAACTATCAGTTGCTTCAGGGCCATCCTATAAATCATTTACCAGAACAACAGTTTGCTCAGTTATTAATTATTTCCCTTAAAAGAAGAGATTCTTAATCAGGGAAAGTAGCATCCTTCTCACTACAAGAAATCTCTCAACTGGACAAATACCTTCCTTATTAAATAACTGTTTATCAAGGCTTGCTTTGACTCCAAACTTTGTGTCCATTAATCCCAAACTTTCAAGTCATTAACTTTGCTGACTAAATGCCCACGAGGAACTCCATCTTAAAACACAAAAGCCCGGCCCTCCCTGGTGGCGCAGAGGGTTAAAGCGCAGCACTAAGAAACTAAAGCCACTTCCGCATGAGTTTGATTCCCCACCTGCCCTGGAGGAGATCAACATGGCGTGGCAGACCTCTCCTGACCCGCCCGCTGCTCCCCTCAGCAGTGTACTTCGTCGATCTGCCTGTTCTGCTCCCCGCTCTGTCTCTGGTGAATCCTCTCACCCTCCACATCTCTGGCCTGTACCCCAGTTCTGTATGAATAAATAAATAAATCTTTAAATATATATATATATATATATATATATTTTTTTCCCCCTTGAAAATAGAGCATCCTTCTGAGACAGTTTCGAGCCCCCTCCTTGAGGGTCTCTCACTAACATGGGGGTCAGATGAACCTAGGTGTTGAATCCAGGCTCTAATTTTCCCTTGTTAAAGCTCCCAATGTTGAGTAACTGTCTTCTAAAATCATGTAGCTGCTTTAGTAGTCTTTTCATTTTCTGTCAGTTTTAAAAACCTGTAGAAATCAGTTTTCTGACTAACAATAATAATACGTCTCTGTCAATTTAGTTGTGTCTAAGGAAATTCATAGGTAAGTGAACAGGCAGAAGCTACAAACTGAACCAAGTCCAAGGCCTTTAAAGGTTTAGCAGGTTTCATCCTACCAGATTCCTGAGAATAAACATTTTGTTCTGAGTGATTTATCATGAAACTTTCCTTGGTGATTTTTTTTCCAGGGGAGAAGTTTCTGAGAACAAAATTGTTCCCAGACCTTTTAACTCCCTAGAACAGCATTTCTGTCAGATCTCCAATCTGAGACACTAGCCACTAGGTTGGGGTCCACCCTACAGGCATATAAAATCCACTGACCAGTTTTGCCAGGCTCTTGTGCGTGTGTTTCAGTTTAGGTCCATTTGAGTTAGTTTCAAGCTTTTTACATGCAGTCACACTATAATTTTAAATAGTACACTTATTGTTCTAAACAGCATAATCTTACCATGAATCTTTTAGAATTACAGTGACCATTCTGGAATTTTTTATATGAACTGCTCACTTGAAAG